AAACAGTGCTATATACTATTTACTTTGGAATCACCCAACATGAAAAACAATGCTATATACTATTTACCTTGGAATCACCCAACATGAAAAACAGTGCTATATACTATTTACTTTGGAATCACCCAACATGAAAAACAGTGCTAGATACTATTTACTTTGGAATAGCCCAATATGAAAAACAGTGCTATATATTATTTACTTTGGAATAGCCCAATATGAAAAACAGTGCTATATACTATTTACCTTGGAATCACCCAATATGAAAAACAGCGCTATATACTATTTACTTTGGAATCACCCAATATAAAAAAACAGCGCTATATACTATTTACTTAGATGAAGTCTTTCACCCAATATGAAAAACAGTGCTATATACTATTTACCTTGGAATCACCCAATATAAAAAACAGTGCTATATACTATTTACTTTGGAATCACCCAACATGAAAAACAGTGCTATATACTATTTACTTTGGAATAGCCCAACATGAAAAACAGTGCGATATACTACTTACTTTGGAATCACCCAATATAAAAAACAGTGCGATATACTACTTACTTTGGAATAACTCAATATGAAAAAATAGTGCTATATACTATTTACTTATATGAACTCTTGTTCGCTACCTCATCTTCAATGTTCGCCTATTAAACACAATATACAATATAAGGGAAAACAGTGTTACGAACAGATAATTTGCATAACTTTCCTAGATGAAGTATTGTTCGCCACATCAACTACAATGCTCGCCTATAAGGGAAACAGTGTTACGAACAGATAATTTGTATAACTTTCCTAGGTGAAGTATTGTTCGCCACATCAACTACAATGTTCGCTTATTAAACACACTACACAATATAAGGGAAAACAGTGTTACGAACATATAATTTGTATAACTTTCCTAGGTGAAGTATTGTTCGCCACATCAACTACAATGTTCGCTTATTAAACACACTACACAATATAAGGGAAACAGTGTTACGAACATATAATTTGTATAACTTTCCTAGGTGAAGTATTGTTCGCCACATCAACTACAGCGCTCGCCTATTCAAACTCTAAGCCATACGAGGGAGTAATTAAAAAACAAACTAAGTTAACTAAGCCTAAAATATCCCCAAAACATAAAAAAACATTTCAACCAGATACACGTATGTTGCTGATGTCTAAGAATTTGTGGTTTTTTTCTGGATGTGGATAAAAATGTAAAGAAACTGTGTTACGTTACAGAATACTGTTATCTCAACCATGATATTTATTGGCAGTTTGTAAATACATAACGGATTACCGGTAACTCACGTTCTACTCCTAATATTATATTACAGATTTACGAGTTTAGTAATATTATCTAAATCATTATTTTGGCAAGAAAAATTAGAAAAGAACCTTTCCTTTCCAGATAACAACAAAAAAACTTTCCACATTAAACAGTTTTTGTACTATCAGCTCTGAAGAAGTCGCAATGGCTGATATAAAAAGTTTTTTTTTCCCTAATTATTATCAGGTGAGTAAAGGTCATTTTTTTTAACTTTATTGTCAAAATATCTAAATCCGTTTCGTGAAAAACAACAAAATATTCCCATTAGTCGACTCTAAACTATTATATGATAAAAATATATGTGTGTATATGTCCGATTATGACTGGCGAACTGCTGGATAGATTGTCACCAAACCTTTAAAACTACCAGGAGAATAACATTGGTGGGTCATGGTTTGGTTATGACCCTCTTCATTACGTCTAATGGGCCCACTATGTCTCTCTCGTGCATTAAAAGGGAACGTCAGCTAATATTTATTTAAACAAGAAAATAACTTAAGGAAAATTCGTATTTTTCAAGTGAATATCCTTTGAAATATTAATATTTAAACACAGAAGCTCAAATACAAATAAATGCTCAGATATTTTTTATTTCGTTTTTTTTTAGAAAATAATATTAGAGTAAAGCTTAAAAATAACTGATATGATCAAAAGTTAAACAATGTACTCGTGTTAAAAGTAAACGCGGTAAAATACTCACCATTGGTGTTTGAATCGAAACCCTTTAACAGTGCAAAATATAACTGGATCTTGACATAGCTGCACAGGTTTCTTTCACCTACATAAACTTTCAGACACAAACAAGCTTCCTCGGAAGACAAGGTTAGGTGTAGAGGTATTCAACTGATTATTTCTGTACGCCGCTAGAAATGTATCACGCTAGTATTATTTATCTAATGCGGTTTGGATGTCTCTTCAATAGATTCTTGTCAAGAACATAATCTTAGATCAGGATCATTTAGTTTTTTTTTTTTTTACACTACAGTTTCCGACACTTTACATTTCAAGGCTTAGATTTTGTTTGTAAACATACTTCTGTAGCAATTGTATTAATAACAATAGAATTCAATACCATTCTTGTCATTTAACACAACGTCATCGGAGAATCAAATCACCTTATAAAACTACAAATCATTGTTTAAGGTTAACAAAAATAAAGCAGCGCGAATAAATTATAATTTTAACCGCTAAGCGAATCAGATTTTTTTTTTTTGCTTCAGTTGTATATTCACCAGCAGGATCTCAAATCCAATGGAGTCAGTTGAGAAGAGTTGCCGTCATCTGAAACCTACTCACAGAGTTAAACTCTCTGGAGGCGCCTCTGTGTAGCGTACGTGACTCGAATTTCTTGGCAACCGGAAGGCACGAGATCTAACTGTAAGGCCATGCGCACTAATGTCTGGAAAACAGATCGAAAGAAGTGCCTCTTTACCTTACACTATTCTATTAAAGAACAACGCCTGAGGTGGAGAAAGGTGTAAAATCTTTGTTTGTAAGGCCCCTAAACACAAAAAGAAGTGCTTGATCTAAGCTTTATTAGAGGCGTTTAAAACATTCCTTTATAACTTTATTTGAAACACGTGTTTCAATTTAACAATTAATTGTTTGAAATAAAAAAAGTAAGAACTAACACAATGATTTACTATAAATTTATATAAATTGTTAATATTTCGATTAAAAACTGGTTATGAGTCACTTATAATATGTGACACTTCATATCGGGATAGCTTGACCACGTACCGTTACTTTCTTTATTAATTGACTGTAACCGAAAATTAAAAACATTACAAGAAAAACGTGAAAATCTTATAAAATGCTCGAATTAACTGGTCCAGTCTTTGTTTAGAGAGCGTTGAATTTAGGATTTGTTTCACGTATGTTTCAAGTTTCTCTGAACAAGACCTTGAAAACCTGTGAACCATGTTTGCGTTTCATGTATATTCACATTGACTGAATTTGTTTTAAAACTTAAATTTCAAATCTTGACTCTTCCTTTCGTGTTTTATAAGTATATCTACGTATATCAGACGTCGGAGCCTATGAAGTATTTACAAAATAATGTATTTACATTTTTACTTACATTGAACACTGGCAAAAAAACAACAACAGAATATGTGACCAACGTTTAGACCATAGGATTTAAATCTTAGTCACACATCTCTATTATTCAGGGGGTTTCTTATACGTTGCCTGTACTTCACTTAGTACCTCAAATCATTGAACAGATAAGTATATAGATATAGGATTAACCTAAATCTCCTAAGCTGGACGCATCTCATGAGGTATTATTGGGATTACGGCCGAAAGTATCGTTAACACTGATGAGAATAAATACTGTCCAATCGAGATTAAAGAGTTTAAAAATATTAATAACTTTATTGTGATGTGCCATCGCAGAACTACTAAAAAAACAACAACACAATTTTGGTGTTATATAATGTTCAGTAATAAACGACCATTACTTTATGGAATAACTGGCTAGTAGTTTATATTATAGTACACCAAAACTGATTATTGTTCTATCAATAAGAAACCGAATTAACTGGATGTGTATCAGAACCTGTAAAAATTATAAAAAAAAAGGAAAACAAATGGCGTATTATTCCGTTAAAATTTGTCTCATTAATACTTTAAACTTTTTATACTTTATAGTGAAATAATATAGGTGACAACGTTTCTTAGACATTACATTTTTGAAAGGTCGTTGCTAAGTACTTAGCTTGTCCGAACTGTGAATCCGATGATCCATGATTCGCCACCTCTTGCTGCTAAAACATGATTTGTACTTGGGGTCGCGAGAGTACTATAACCTTCAAATTCCACCACTATTCTATCAGACAACACAAGTGCATTGTTTGTTTGTGTGTAATCAAGCATAAAGCTACATTATGGGCTATCTGTGCTCTGCCCACCACGGGTATGGAAACCCGGTTTCTAGCGTTGTAAGTCCGCAGACATGCCACTGTGTGTGTGTGTGGGGGGGGGGGGGCAACACTAGTACAAGAGTTGGTTAGTTGCCTTTCACTATCAGCCTAAAATTAGGGGCGACTATGCTCAGATAATCCTTGTGTAGCATTACATAAAATCTGTGCTCTGCCCACCACGGGTATGGAAACCGGTTTCTAGCGTTGTAAGATCGCAGACATGCCACTGTGTATGTGTGTGTGGGGGGGCAACACTAGTACAAGAGTTGGTTAGTTGTCTTTCACTATCAGCTTAAAATTAGGGGCGACTATGCTCAGATAATCCTTGCGTAGCATTACATAAAATTCTGAAACAAACAAATCCAGTTCTAAGAGGCTAACAATGCGATAAATCATTCCCAATTACGCAATATTAACACAACACAGAGAAGACTTTCAGGTGCTACACGCAATATTAATACAACACAGAGAAGACTTTCAGGTGCTACACGCAATATTAATACAACACAGAGAAGACTTTCAGGCGCTACACGCAACATTAACACAACACAGAGAAGACTTTCAGGTGCTACACGCAATATTAACACAACACAGAGAAGACTTTCAGGTGCTACACGCAATATTAACACAACACAGAGAAGACTTTCAGGTGCTACACGCAATATTAACACAACACAGAGAAGACTTTCAGGTGCTACACATAAATTACAGAATGTACACACAGATTAATTACTTACCTTTACTCGCTGCTGTTTTTACAGATTAACTTAGAAAGACGTTCTCTTCAACTCCGCTAAGTAAGAAAATACTGTCCTTGCAGCGTTTGATAAGCGATGGTGTAGTTATAATATACCCCAGAGTCTACTTGACTTTTCCAAAATAACTTTATTTAAAAGTCGCCTTATATTTTATTTCCTCTCTTGAAGGAGAATGTTTATTTTTTTAAATAATTCTTAATATATGAAATACACGTTATTTTCATATTCAGCAGAAATTCAGTCCATGGTGTTTTTTTTTTTTATCTGTACGGATAATTATGTTAGTAGAACATTTTTCAACTCGTACATATTAAAAGCTAAAAATATCCGAAGTACGAAACACTTATTCCAAGTCTCCAGTTTTCCGATAAAATTAACTCTACGACAATAAATAAATAAATAAATAAATAAATAACCCAGCAAATAGTAATTTAGAATTTACTTCAAACTTTTTTTTTTATTCTTTCTTTTGCCCATAGCAATGCTCTCATAGGCAGACAAAAGATGCTTGCTATCCCTACTCGGAAGAGCTGTTTACCCACTATCTCCAAAGCTTTTTCATTATTAAAGGGCCCACTTCCACGATCAAGATCAAATTTATCGAAGTGCTGTCAACGATTTGTGGCCTTAAGCGGCCTTCCTTCGCGAAACGCCCATCAGTAAGTAAAGAAAAAAGAAAGATAGCTATATAAACGAAGTTTGTTTTTCTAATTTCAAGAAACTGATGAGCTATGTGCTGTGCTACCCAATTATCGTAGACTGTGCAACCTCAACATAAAAACAGTATTGAATTTTACGGATCTCATATTACTGAGATCGTATGGTTATTATACTGGATGTACTTCCGCAGGGTCCCCGAAAATGTTCTTTTTCAAGAGTAAATAAAACCAAAATTAAAAGTAACAAATATTTTTTTTTATTGATTTTGATCTTCACATGTCATGCTTTGTTGGAGCCTACAGAGTGCATATTTCTTCACGACATGCACACGTTTTACCGACATCACGACAGTACAAATTGCAACGTTAAGAGTCCTTTATGTGACGTCATTTTAGTGTCTACTTATCTAGTGACAGACAACACATTACCGAATAGTGGTTCGAATAAAATGATACAGATTTTAATGGCTACTGGATGCAAAGGCAGGCCGAGAGGTGGAAAAACTACCCACATGAACACCTCACATTTTACACGTTTTCTGACACTTTGATTGTACTTTTATGTAACGTATTTAAGACATGAGTAGGTTATCAAAAGATACATGAAACTTCTATAATTGTCATATAAAAAAAAATATATTACCGTTTCGGTTTTCATAAGTTACGAATCTGAGACTTGTAATGCAGGACACGCAGTTGACATATAAATCATAGCTGCAAAAAATGTCGAAACAGCAGTAACTCGTTACAATATTAATTTCAGATCCACAAACTGGACCATTACTAGATAAGTAAACATCAATCCTGTTCGACCACCAATTAAATGTTCCTATTCTATACGTTCCATTTCGCGCGTCGTACTTTTTTTTTATATTTCGTTGCTAACCAGGTGTAAATCCTTTAATACTACTTACGTATTCACGATGTCATCGTTCTTTAAAAACGGTTATGATAATGATAATCTAACAGTGCTACGTGAACAAGTTTTCCTAAGTTCATAGCATTAAAATAAATGGTTTATCGTGCATAGGAAGAAAGTTTAACCCATTTATTATCGTAAAATGTTACTGTTTACCATCCTATATCAACTCAACGTACAGTGCCGTATGTAGGTATGCATATCCACCTAAAACTCTAACGGTTCTAGAGTTAGCAGGACCAAAATTAATAGGAGGGCTCAAGATGGTCTCAGGGTATCCTTCTCTAATAAGTATCTTTCTACTATTTAATAAGTGGATAACAAGGAGGATAAAACGCCTTCGGGAGGTAACCCAGGCATGAGGTGGTTTAATGAAGGGTTTTCAGGGTCGCTGAACTCGAATCTGGGATCAAAATTTGTGTTTCTAGCCCCCATCGGGAACTTAGGGTGCCATGCTTGAAAATGTGTTCATAACCTCACTCAGGAAATTGCGGGACCAAACTTTATACACGGGGTGATATTCTAATCCTTTTTTCTTTCAGGAACATATCCTCTTGGTGTTGCTACAGAAGTAATTAGGGATAATGGAGAATATTTTTATACATCTGAACCACTTTGAATTGCGAGACCAAACTTGATACACGGGGTGATGTTCTAATCCTTTTTTCTTTCAGGAACATATCCTCTTGGTGTTGCTACAGAAGTAATTAGGGATAATGGAGAATATTTTTATACATCTGGACCACTTTGAATTGCGAGACCAAACTTGATACACGGGGTGATGTTCTAATCCTTTTTTCTTTCAGGAACATATCCTCTTGGTGTTGCTACAGAAGTAACTAGGGATAATGGAGAATATTTTTATAAATCTGGGCTACTTTGAATTGCGAGACCAAAC